AAAACGAGTTCAAGGTGTCAAAAATCGCGTTTTTTTCAATATTTGAGAAGCTCTAGCAAAGAAACAAAGGGTGGTAGAACCTTCCACGTAGGCTTTGATTAAAGCTGAAAATCTCTAATACTATTCCTGCAAGTTCCCGCACCTTTGCTTGTTTGAGTTCCTACCGCAATTAAGTAAAAGGTGGCAATCCTTCCACGTAGGCTTAAATTAAAGCTAGAACTACAGACTACCATCCCTGAAAGGACTATTCCTGCACCTTGCTCTAATGGTCACCCAGTGTTAGCTGTTCAATAAATGACTATAGGTAACCTTAGTATTAGTGGTATTTTTAGGCACTGAAGTCAGACGTCCAAGCCTTAATTTAAGCCTAAGTTGAAGGTTCTATCACCTTTTGTTTCATCGCTAGACCTTCTCAAATATTGCAAAAAACGCGATTTTTGACACTTTCACCACATTTTTCTTAAAATCTGGAGCTGATGGAAACTTTATACATACGTATTCTTAATCAGCACAAAAAAGCCTATCAAAACCAGCTTCAACATTTGCTGCATCAAAATCGGTTTTGCCCTGTGTTACCTACACTAATTATATAAAGAGAAGCTCCTTCTTTTTATAAGAGGTGATCTCGCGAACGGCTGTACCGAATTTTAAAGGGAGCGTGCCATCACCCATACATATCGAATTTTTCATACCGTATATCTCTGAAAGTATTTGTGGTAGTGTCCTGGTATAAAGATTTTGGGGCTACTGGAAACGGGACGTGGTGCTTTCCAAACATATTGAAGCTTTTACCTATTTGTAAATATATACACCCAGAATACAGTGTTTTTTTCTTTTTCATAATAAATTGTTTGTCAATATTTTATAGAAATATAGTTCATTTTGCATCAAATGGCACCAAATTTTTAGTATGCAGTTTTATAGTTCACTCAATTTCAGTATCATAAAGTGCAAGTATTTAATGCACCCAGAAAAAGAATCCTCATTTTTAAACAACACGATTCATGTTAGATTCCCACGCTCGGTTTTTACATGCAAAACAACAACAATTTCTGCAAATTACATGATGTTTCAAACATAGCATTTACTTCTCAAAGTCAATTAGCCTTTTTGGTTCATTCAACTAAATTATACAGTTGATACAACATGAAAAAAGTGTTGAAAAAATAACAACACAAACTATCCCGTTACTTGTGCTGCAAAACCATCGATAGTGGCACCTTTTTGGCTAATTTAACTAAGTTATACTGTTAATACAACATGAAAAAAGTTTTGAAAAAAAGAACAACACAAACTATCCCGTTATTAGTGCTGCAAAATTATCGATAGTGGCGCCATCGACGGTTTTCGATAGTTTTTATAGACAGCCATCGATAATATCGATGCTTTATAATGGGGACCCGTTAAATGGAAAAGGGGTACACATATAAGATTTTATTTATTATATTGAACATATTTAAAAGCTAAGAAAATACAACTTTTAATTTATTTTCAAACTAATAGTTCATTTCCATCAAGCCGTAACTACAGTTTATGCCTATTGAAAAAGGGAGATTACAACTTGAAGGGGGNGGAGATTACAACTTGAAGGGGGTTATTTTTCATGTTAAGTACAAGAAAACAAAAGTAAAAAGGCAAAAATGTAAGAAATAAACCCTGCCGATCACCCCACGTGAAACTTACCTGACTTCTTAACTGGCGTTAAGCTTTTGGTGGGAATAGGCTATAAATGGGGGCTATACAAGAATCCTAGATTGTTCGATTTTACGTGAAATCTACGAAAATGCGATAACTGAACCGAATTTCTACGAACGGGTGTATTCAAAGTATACGCTAAGTCCGACCGATTAATCGGCCGATGCCGACTCTAGTATCGGCCAAAAGAATCGGCAACGGGCGTTTTTGGCAGATTCTTGAATGAGGTAATAGGTTTGTATAGTAAATTCTCCAGTAAAAAATTGCAGCGAGAGCGAAAGTAAAAAATTGCAAAATAGAGCGTAAAATTGAGATGAAGAGAAAACTAGCAGAAAATGTTACTGAACACAAAACTAATAAAAACTTGCAAGTGAATAGTTGTTGCACCGTTTTGACATTGTTCTGTTAACATCTTACTATTTATAATTCAGTTTTAAACTCTTTGCTTTACATACAAGCACTTACACAGTCCAGTACATCATTAATATTTTGTGTTCCATTATTATACCCGAGCGCACTTGTGCACAAGGGTATATTAATTTTGTTCACATAACGGTTGTTTGTAACAGGCAAAACGAATCGAGATAGATATAGACAAATGTATACATACAGTTGTCCACAAAATAATAGGAGTGCGATATTTTGACCAGTTTTGGCTATTTGTCTTTTGTTTATTTAATGTTTATTATTTTTTTATAAAAGCCTAGCTGGCTATACAACAAACACCATATAAATTCAGATTTCTTCATACCTCTATGATAGATCACAAAGGCTAATGTTTAAAAATACTATCTCTGACGTCATTGATGTTACTTCAGGAGCCCCTCAAGGTAGCCACCTAGGCCCGGTTCTGTTCTTGCTTTTTATAAACGATATTTCTACAGATATACAATTTTCCAAAATTTTAATGTATGCAGATGATGTAAAGCTTTATAAATCGTACGTTTCAATTAAAGAAAGGTCTTTGCTACAATCAGACTTAGACAGCATGGCTTACTGGTGTCAAGTAAATCTTATGCCTCTAAATCTTAAGAAATGTAAAGTAATGAGCTTCTCGCGAAGAGCTGTTCATCCCATTTCTTATACAATAGGTAACCATAACCTGGAACAGGTATACAATTTTTTGGACCTTGGTATCACAATGGATCCTAAGCTTAATTTTAATCTTCATATTAATGTGACAGTCAACAAGGCTAAAGGTGTACTTGCATTTGTGAAACGATGGTCAAAAGAATTTTGTGACCCTTATATCACTAAAACCCTGTTTACAACATTAGTTAGGCCAATTCTGGAATACGGTTCGGTGGTTTGGAGTCCAAGGTATCAAATTTACTCAGACAAGATAGAGTCAATTCAAAAACAATTCCTACTTTTTGCTTTAAGAAATTTCCGTTGGGATTCTCAATATAACCTTCCACCTTATACGAGCCGATTAAAACTTATTAATCTTCCTACACTTTCCAGCCGCAGGCAAATGCTTGGTACAATTTTTATAGTTAAATTACTAACAGGCTCAATTTCAAGTCCGCTTCTTCTTGGCGAAGTTAGCCTTAATGTTCCCTCCCGGGTATCAAGACACTTTTTCCCCCTATTTCTGAAAGCTTGTAAAACT